GAATGATACTCAAAGAACTTGACAACATTGGTTACCTTGAAGGGAAAGACCTGAGGAACAGGGGGAAGAAAGAGACTGCATTGTGCACTTTCTTATATTTTTTGAATTATGCAACTTAAGAATGTATAAGTAATTCATGTAAATAAATTAATAAAAATTTTTAAACAAAACAAATGGGCATTGGTACTGCTCCAGCAAAGGAATAAGAAGGCAAAATCATTTTATGGGGTGCTAAACATATTCATGTCCTTAAAAAAAGCATTCCCTTACACCAAATCCATAAATATGTAAACCCAAGGATAAAGAAATAAAAGCATCTACAATTCATAAATGAATTCTTAGCTTTCTATAGATTATATAAGCTAGGCTAAACTTTTAGTTATATAGCAGCAGATGGACATACAAAATTTCCTCCAAACAACTGAAAGAAATTACAGTATTTTACGTTATTCTAAAGAGGTAGAGATATGAACAAAATTAATCTAAACACATTTTCCTTGTGCCCTTTGGTGGGATCTAATTTTAGCAAGAGGCATTTAACATATATAATTACTAAATGTATACATAGAAAGGTGTAAAAATTAGCTTTCATATCACAGTCTCAAGAATGATTAATGCAATCTTATTTAGTTATCAGTAAGAAAAAATTTTCCATAAATAACCACCTAATTATAAGAATATAAATGTTATTTTATGGAGGAGTAAATAAAACTTCTTAAAGCAAATTGCTAATTATTGTATAGTCTGGTATAAGATAAACTATGTTGTGATGAGCACAAAAATATCACCAACTACTAGCACAAATTTTTGATCCTCAAATGCAAATTGTGTTCAGGTTCCAAAATTCTAAAATTCTATAAACAACACAGTTATACAGAAAAATAATGAATAAAAATAAATTAAGAGTTTCAAATGAATAAAGACACACAAGGAAACATTATGGAGATGTAGTTAGAAGGAAGATCAAAGTATAATGAGTTCAGAGTTTGACTGTAGCAAATTCTTTTACCTTACTGTCCTTGTGCTACTGAAATATTAATAAACAGATCCCTAGCATTAAGTTAATGAAATGTAAAACATTTATTCAAGTAGTAACTTAGTTGAACTCATATCCAGTGACGTTCCTCTAAAAATGTTACATAATCTTCCGAAAATTCTTATTTAATATTATCAGCAAGAAATGCCTTTTAAATGTGTGTATATATATATATATATATATAAGTAAAAACATATACATATGTAATTTGTATCCACAGGGACTCCATTGACTAAATTAAAGAACACAGTAAGGAAAAGAAGAAATAGCATTTTGACCAAATGTGATTATTGGTAGTTTGCACCATAATATAATCATCAAATATCATTTAACTTGTTACCATTAATCTTTTGAAAAATTCTGACCTCTCTGTGTATCTTGGAGACTGAAAATTTTTACAATGCATAAGCAAAAATGAAATAAAACAGCATTATCATTTAAAATTATAAAACTAAAGTAGATCATATGCTCAAATAAAAATTCCCCATTAATGATTCAGAGATCCTTCTAGTATAAGAAAGATAGTTGTATATTGAATATTAGACTAGGTAAGAAAATTTTCCAAGTGCTAATCATTTATTTTTCTTAGTAGTGGCTTCAATTTCAAATCATTCTCTTTTTCACTGGCCTATCTTGAGAAACTGATTTGCACAGTGGAGTAAACTTTTCTTTGTGGCAGGAAATTATTCCTGATAAATTTAAAGGAAAGTATTTCTGTGCAGATACAGGTCAAATGTAAGAGAGTCAAGGCAATTATTCTGCGAACTGGTGCAGAAAATCTTGCTACCCAGGAACTGAGTAAAGGTATTAGGTTTGTGTTATTCCCACAGACTCACATTTAACTAGTTTCACATCAACTGAATTAAGTGACTATACATTCCGCTTATGATAGGCTCTAAAGGAATGGCCCAATTGACTATCTGCCAGTCAGAAATTTTGGCCACAGTATTGGCTACTCCTACACAGTGAGTTGCATCAGGCATGCTGTAGGTGACAGGACAGCCAGAAAAACTGAACTTACATGGCACAGTGTGGCTCAATGTTTGGAAGGAAATGGTTTGAGTCTTGACCAACAAGTTGCTAAAGATTGTGTGCATGTACATTCTTTGCATGGTTCTACAAACATGAAAATATTCAAATTCCCTTTAAAGACATGGCACCTACCAAAAAATCTTGAGTTCTAGGAGTCCAAACAATCAAAGAGTTACCAATTTTCTAACATTTGGCAAGAGGAGGATGGTAGGAAATCTTTAATAGGTTTCATGGCACTTAAACTTTGTTAACTTTACTGGAGTAACAGATGTGAAACCGTAAATTGAGAATCACCACCTCACTGTGAATGAAGCAGATGAAGCTCTTCAGCATGACTGAGAGGGGGATCGAAACCAAATATTAACTTTGGTAATAGATGCAGGATAAAACAATAAACACTAGCAGGTGTACATTAGATAACATACATCTATCATATGCCATTATCACATGTGCTTTGATGAGGGCACCTTGCCATTTTTCCATGCAAGAGCTATTTTTTTAACTCTTATACTCCTTTTGCTAAAAAGGAAATTCTCTTGTAAAAAAGAAAACAAAAAACCATCCTTAACAACAGAATCTTAAATATTAATGCTTTTTTATGTGTAAATTAATATGTACAATTGATACTATGAATTGGTGGTTGGTTTTTCAAATAGTTTTCCACTATTCTCAGTTGTTATAATTCAGTTATTTTAAGTTAGTTTAATTTACCAATTAATATAATAAAAATCACACATCAAATTTGTGTAATGGACAACTTAAGGAGTATTGCCACTTTTCATACTCTATATAGAAAACCAAAGTGTATCCCTTACCAAAGGAAAAGAAATCAAACTATAAAATTTACGCTATTAATGTTTGAATCTGTATTTACATGACCTGGAAAATCAATTTCGTTAACTCAGTGACAGAACTAGTAAATTCAGTAAACCCATATTCAGTTGATTAGGATGTTTAACAGGTAGCCAGGAATCAGTGCGAAGGCAAGGAGAAATAGCAGGAGAAGGTGAAGTAAGAGAGGGATGGGGAAGGTAGGGACGGTATGCCAGCATGAGAGAGGGCGGATAGAATGAAAGTGGGAAAGGACTCTTACTCCCTGTTTTTCACTTTTCCTAAGGCCTTGGAAAGCGGCAAGTACTTCCCTTTCCGCTGAAAATGACTTTCTGGGTGGCCCTTCTCAAGAGCACCTAAAGCAATGGCACCTGGTCTCTTTTCCTTTTACAGTAAAGGTAGAATTATTTTTTACATCTAGAACATTTTACAATTCCTTTGTAAATATTATGATTTTAAAGCTGGGAGGAAATTAGGAAACCATTTAATCTAACTAACCCATTATTTTATTAATAGGAGAACTGAGGTCCAGAGAGGTTATGATTTAGTTTCTAATCTACATAAATATACTGGTGTGTGTAGACACTTTAGAATGCTTTATTAGTGTTATTAAAAGCAAGAGACAGATATGCATAAAAAATTCTTCAAAAACACAAAGGAAAAAATTACAAAAAAGAAACTCTCCACTCAGAACTGCTAGTGATCTGAAGTTAGTAAGAAGTAGTGAACTAAAAATAAAGGACTTAAACAATGGATTAGGGAAGAGGCATTAAATGACGAAAGTATGAACACGTAATCATTACAAAGAGAAAAAGCAGATACAAAATACTTAACAAGCACATACTATGTCTTTAAGAAAATCCATAAAATGAGAAATGTAAAGCCTTTCATATTATTATTTTCTACCAAATTTGTTTCTACCTCTACTTCATTATAAGAACAAACTATGTGATAAGATGATGAAAAAGGGGCACATGCACTTAATTCAAATCCCCAGCCTCCCTTCACATGAAACATCTAGATAACCAATCCCATTGCTACTTTAGCTAGGTAGTTCCAAATGATTATTCTTCTTTATATGCTTAGTTGAGGTGAAAATGGAAGGCTTGGGTTATGGAGTTTGATAATACCAAATTCTACACAGCTGTCTATGACTATTTCCATGACATTATTTAAATTCATTAAAATATCTTGTGTAAAAATAAATGTATTTATTAAATTTTAAAATCTTGAAAACTCAAATATGTAGATGTGTTCCTAAGATATTATTTGATCATAGCCATGATCAGAGGCAATACAAATATTTTTCATTGGAATTACCTAGATTAGTGCTTCCCAAGTGTCCCTCTGGTAGAATGCAAAATGATTGTACATATGGCACGTGGGTAAATTTTTTTTAATTTAATAATTAAATTTTTAAATTAAATTTTTAAAAATTTAAATAAAAATTAAAAATTTTAATTTTACTATTTAAGTATGGATTTTAATACACATTAGAAAATATTTTTTATTTTTGTATTTTAAGAGTGAATCAACTAAAAAAATATGTTAAGTAAATAACAGTATAGACAGATCCATGTGAATATGGCCAAACTTGAATGTCTAAGGTCTGGGAAATGCTGCCCAACATAAAGTAACTTCCCCGATGATGAGCTAACATAAATATTATTGGCAAAAGATATGAAAATTCCAAAAAAAGTTATATTTTATTCTCTATATTACTTCTTGGTTTTATCTCTTAAAAAGCCAGTGTAAATCAGCATAATATAAAAGTGAGTTCTTTCAGTAGAAATTTGAAGTATTTTACTCAATATCATGGAAGAAAGCCAATTAAAATCACCATTAACGAGTATGAATCACCTCTCTTACGTCACATTATTAACAAAAACTTCTTCCTAATTCATGTAACTGTGGGGCACATATCAGTAACATTCTGCATAATATGACAGGTACTACATTCTGGATAATACCACAGCACTAACACTGCTCAACACATACTAGCCCCAGCCCAGTCTGTGTTGTTTTTTCCCTCCAAAGAGGAAAATGTACAATAGAGGCTACTAAGAAGCTACATTAAACAAATAAAAGCTCAAATACTTACTGTCGCTGGGGAGGCCCGAGTGGTATGTGTCACTGAATGACCAGAATTCTCCATTGAATTGCCGATCAGATAGGTTCCGCCAGAGCTGCTGATGAGTTGTCCTCCCGTGACGCCCATCTGAATCCCACCAGTGCCCACCATACTGTGGGACGAGACCACGGTAGTCACTTGTGCAGAACTCCCTTGAGTATCAAAGTAATTTCCTCCAGTGTTTTGGCTGTACATCTGCGTTTCTGTGTAAGGATAGGTTGTTGTTCGGCTTTAAGAGAAGAAAAAAGGAAGAAATTACTACCTTATTTATATCATCTTAATTTCTTCCAGCATGAATATATGTTTAAAATATATCAGTTAGCTTAACCTTTGGAACATGGTGAATTTTGTATTTTGTACAAAACTTCTTTCCCAGAAATAGTTGGGTTTACTTTCCAAATTAAAGGCATAGTCCTTTCCTAAGTATGTCAACACTTCTCTGTGCTTTGGAGAGTTTGCCCTCTACTGGCGCCTACCTCCAGTATATAATCTCAGGTCTCTTCCCTCTAAGAAATCTTGCTGAGTGACTTCTTCAATTCCTTATAAAACTTCCTGCAAATCCCAGTTTTAGAAAAGCTGGGATCAGGAAAGACTGGGGGCTGACAAGTCAATTCCCCATGGTACTTCGAATTCCCAGGTGCCCTGCAATAAACCTCCAGGACTAAGGTAGCTTGCATGGATCTCTTTCTTGCTACTATAAGGATCTTGGGCAAACAGTTCACTCACTTTGGATCCTGAATCCCTGTCTATGTACCTTTCTCTTCCTCCACACACAAGCTTCTTCTTGATGAGATGACTATGTCACCTCTTCACGTCCTCAATTTCCACTTCCCAAGAACTGCAGTCAAGCTTCTGCCCTTAGCCTTTCACTGAAATTGCTTTTAATAAGGTCACTTGTGACCGAATCTAAATACCAAGCTAAAAGGCTGGGGTCAGTCCTCATCTTGTTTGACCCATCTGCAGTATAACATTGCTGATCACTCTATGTTGCCCCTTCCCTCCTTTTTCTCTTCTGGTTAAGCTTATTTGATTTATTTTTCATTTGCCATTGACTATAACTTACATCTTAATATGACTTTTGCTTTTAATTTTTATTTTGAAATAATTATAAACTCACAAGAAGTGGCAAAAATAGTACAGAGAGGTATAAAATACTTCTTTTTTAAAAATTCAAATATCGAATTAAAATTCCCAGTTCTTTTGTCATTCTCTTCAACTCCACATTCCCAGAGCTAGCCACTACTAACAATTTGGTGTAAAAGTTTTCAGATATTTTCTATGTATATATAAGTTTTGTCTTAACCTCTCTTGTTCCCTAGTTTCTATGGCATTTCTTTTCCACTTTTTACTTTTTTTCACTACTCCCTTTCAAGAACCTTTTGGAGGCTACATTTTTCTGGCACTTTGAATACTGGTATTTTGTGAGGTGTCCATTTTTAGCTCTCATTTTTATTCAGACCACATACATTTACCATACATAACCATATACACACTCATAGTCAACAACCTTACATAAGTTGATATCTCCACTCTCTTTACTTTCTAGTTATACATTAAGAATCTTAAATCTGGGTTTCTAACAGCCACTTGGTTATCACTACTAGAAAACGCCATGATATATGGGAAGTCCCATATGTAAAATTTAACATATGACTAAAAAGAAATTCCTCATCTCTCTTGCTCTTTTTCTCATATTCCCCCTCTCAGCAGAGGGCAGCACCATCATCCTCAGCTTTGGAAATTATTGCTGACTCTCTCCTCACCTAAGTCCTACTAATTTTACCTTCTAAATAATTCTACAATTCTCCTTTCCATTCTTGCACTCACTGCATTAACTCACAATATTCTCCATTATAATTGCCTTCTAACTGGTTTTCATTCCTCTAATTGGGCTCTCTTGCAATCTATCTTCAATTCTGCTACCAGGGAAATTTTTCTAAAATGCAAATATGAAAATAAAACCTCTATTAAAAACCTTTCCATGATTCTCTCTTGCTTTCAGAAGGAATTCAAAACCCTTGATCTGCCTTACAAGAATGAGCAGGGCTGGTGCCTACATAATCTCCGGATTTGGTACTAGCCATTTCCTCAAATGTTTTCTTCACTCACACCACACTGACCATTTTGTTGGTCCCTCTAGAGGGCCATTTTCTCTTGCCTTCCTGCTTCGTTATGCAGGGTTTCCTCTGCCTGGAAGCCTTTACATTTTTCTTCACTCCTTTCCTTTGTCCTCATCATCTATAAACTCTCAGCTCAAGCATCACCTTAATTCAGAATTATTTTTCTGCAGCCCTTCCCCTCCATGGCCATTCCCCACAGAGCTATCAGATTTTGTTCTCTGTACTCTCTTAACACCCTGTGCACACCTGAAGTATAGCTCTCGATAAATTTATTGCTGATTTCCGCGTGTCTTTGTACTCCCATAAAATTATGTTTTATTCTTATCTGTACCCTCAACACTTACAGTTGCTAGTACACAGTGGGCACACTAGTCAACAAATAAAAATATAATTCTATTTAAAATATATTTGACATAATAGCCAGCTACATAAATTTCAAAAACAAATTTTTTTTGTTTTGTTAAAATATGAGAGACTTTACTAACCTATTCATAGATTTTTCTGTATCATTTAAAAGAGGCCATTTTTACTCATTACAAATTACACTTGTAATATAACTTCTAATGTAAATTTTAGTAAAATAATAATAGTGCATGGAAAGTATTCCACACTGGGTAAGTTACTGCTTTCCAGAAAGAGCCATCACAGATTCAGGTATAAATTTTAGTGTGGAGTGATGACAGAAACAACTCCACAGAGAACATGTTTTTATAGAGAGAAAAATGCTGTTTAAAATACATACACAGCTCTTCTCATCATTGCTGAATTTCCCAATTGGAAATCTTATTTATATATTTCTTTCATTACACATTTATTTAATAAAATAAAAGTTATGTTGATTTCAAATTTAAGTAAAAAGAGAAATGAAATCATATTAATTTACATCTACCGAATATAATAGTGACTCTATTTAACTGTAGTTAAAATAACACAATCTGATACTGATATTTCAGTATAGCCAAGTAAGGCATAAGAATAGATGTAAGACAATAAATACTTTGACAGACGCACGACATGGTGCTGGCATTCATTTCACAGTCCTAGCAAAATGCCTAAGCACGCTTCCTGGTAGTAAGTTGATTTCACAAATAAAACAATATTAACTAATTATAGCTAACATTTACTGACAATTTACTGTGCAACAGGCACTATTCTATGTGTTTTTCAGGTATTAACTCATTTAATCTTCATTACAATTCTATGAGATAGGTACTGGTATAAATCCTATTTCACAGACAAGGTGAATAACTGAAATTTGGATAGTTTAAGCAGCTTTGTCCAAAGCACACAGCTGGTAAAAACTGGATTTGAAGTCTGCACTTAGCCCATACTCTCAACCATTTTGTCACATAAAAAGAACCTAACTTTATATGTACAGCAATGGTATTTGTGAACAACTACTGAGGAATAGCACTAACAGGTGGTACAGGGGCCATATGAACTTTCTCCTGCTATTTGGGATTGCTTTAGCTCAGTGTTTACTGGCACCACAGTACTCTCCTCTCTTACTCAGAATGGGATCTGCAGACGTACTCACAATGGTAGAGAAAGAGAGATGGAAAAAGCGGGACTATTTTGGAGGATACTTAACACCACACATTTGGATTTTAGAAGTTCTCTGACCAGGGAAGTTACTACTCTATCATAAGAGAAACATTCTAAGGGATTTACATCACTCTATCTTTTGGGCATGCCTCCTTTATATAATTAGTTCTCAGTAAACAATACTACTGCAAACAAATACATCACAGATGTACAAAATCTGTTATCTATAGCCCTCAAGTCAGTAGGAAAATATGGCAGCAAAAAGGAACCTACTTTGAATTCCATACTTCCCTCTGGCTGGAAATGATTCATGAGCTAGAACATGAGCAAAGACCAGGAGGAGGGTGAAAGTCACTAAAGAGTATGCCTAATCCATAAACTATCCTCACTACTCAATCATGACCCATGGGACTGAGGAGAAGGCTTGTCTACTGCAAAAACACACACTGGGGTAAATACCGGGAATTTCTAGGAGGAAAAAGACAATTTTATTAGGAAATGAAGAATTGTGAATTGTTTCTGAATTTGTCTCTGACAAATGTACACTTGCAATGGGAAATAGAGGAGACTTAAACATCAGATTGGGTAACAGAGGCAGACCATAATATCCTTAGTCATTGTTCTTTAAAGGTAAGAAGATAACTGGAGTCCTGTCCAGAGCCAGGCCAGAGTCATGCACAGATAAGTCCTAAAGGTCTTTTCCATGTCTAAATGCTCTAAGCTCCTGAATAAATACTGAAGAATTTACATTAAAAAAGAAGTACCAACAGCAAAAACAGTTGTTTCTTAGCTACTAGAAATAATGACACTTTAATTCTGATACCTCAGATCAGCTTGGCTTTCATATTGTATAATGAATACAATATGAGTTATTGCTTGCACACTATTTTCCTCAGAAGTTTCCAAAACCTATGGTTGAGAAAATTAGTCAATATTTGGCATATCAGATTGAAAGCAGCTAACTATTGCTGGACTGCACATTCCTGAAATGGCTAAATTCCCAAGCAACTCCATGCACATTTGAAAGATGCTGCTATTTTCCTTTTGTTTGTTCTTTATTGATGGCCACAGACTGTTATGAAAATAATGTGCTATCATTTCTATACAGAAGAGGAATCTTTCCATTGTTCTGCATATGTATCCTGTAATAAATGTAAACACATAGATATGTGCATACTTGCTGACAGAAGCTTCTTCATAGCTGCCTCTATGATAAGGTTCTATGTAAATCTCAGGACTCTGATGCATTGACTTCAGTAAATTAGTGCTGTTTGCACCCCACCATGCCTCAACATACACCCTGGCTAAGCATGACCCTAAATATTCCCTGCTTGCTTATTCACTAGGATGATTATGTCAATTTACCTTAGCTATAACCAATTTTCTATTTTCTTTAGCTTCAGGTGTCTTATCCACAAGTCCAGATATATAATACCTCTAAATTATGTGTTCTGCATTTTACCCGGGTTTTGAATATCCTCCCATCAATAAGCTAGTCATCTATGAAACCAAGCAATGGTATGAAAATGGTCAATTAAGGAAATACCTTGCAAATTTTACGCTA